AAAAATGTTCCAAAGAACTAAACAGACATTTCTCCAAAGAAGACATATAGATGGCTAACAAACACATGAAAAGATGCTCAACATCACTCATTATCAGAGAAATGCAAATCAAAACCACAATGAGGTACCATTACACGCCAGTCAGGATGGCTGCTATCCAAAAGTCTACAAGCAATAAATGCTGGAGAGGGTGTGGAGAAAAGAGAACCCTCTTACACTGTTGGTGGGAATGCAAACTAGTACAGCCGCTATGGAAAACAGTGTGGAGATTTCTTAAAAAACTGGAAATAGACCTGCCATATAACCCAGCAATCCCACTTCTGGGTATACACACCGAGGAAACCAGATCTGAAAGAGACACATGCACCCCAATGTTCATCGCAACACTGTTTATAATAGCCAGGACATGGAAGCAAGCTAGATGCCCATCAGCAGATGAATGGATAAGGAAGCTGTGGTACATATACACCATGGAATATTACTCAGCCATTAAAAAGAGTTTATTTGAATCAGTTCTAATGAGATGGATGAAACTGGAGCCCATTATACAGAGTGAAGTAAGCCAGAAAGATAAAGACCATTACAGTATACTAACACATATATATGGAATTTAGAAAGATGGTAATGATAACCCTATACGCAAAACAGAAAAAGAGACACAGATGTACAGAACAGACTTTTGGGCTCTATGGGAGAAGGCGAGGGTGGGATGTTTCAAGAGCACAACATGGAAACATGTATATTATCTAGAGCGAAACAGATCACCAGCCCAGGTAGGATGCATGAGACAAGTGCTCGGACCTGGTGCACTGGAAAAACCCAGAGGGATCGGGTAGAGAGGGAGGTGGGAGGGGGGATCGGGATGGGGAATACATGTAAATCCATGCCTAATTCATGTCAATGTATGACAAAAAAACACTACAATATTGTAAAGTAATTAGCCTCCAACTAATAAGAATAAATGAAAAAAAAAGATAAAGGCTGTGAAAAGAGACAAAGAAGGACACTACATTAATGATCAAAGGAACAATCAAAGAAGAAGATATAACAATTATAAATAGATTGGTCAAAACTTCCCTTCCAAGGAGTAAGCGTCTTTTAATTTCATGGCTGCAATCACCATCTGCAGGGATTTTGAAGCCCCCCAAAATACAGTCTGACACTGGTTCCACTGTTTCCCCGTCTATTGGCCATGAAGTGATGGGACCAGATACCATGATCTTAGTTTTCTGAATGTTGAGCTTTAAGCCAACATTTTCACTCTCCTCTTTCACTTTCATGAAGAGCCTCTTTAGTTCCTCTTCACTTTCTCCCATAAGGGTGGTGTCATCTGCATATCTGAGGTTATTGATATTTCTCCTGGCAATCTTGATTCCTGCTTGTGCTTTTTCCAGCCCAGCGTTTGTCATGATGTACTCTGCATAGAAGTTAAATAAGCAGGGTGGCAATATACACCCTTGACATACTCCTTTTCCTATTTGCAGCCAGTTTGTTGGTCGATGTCCAGTTCTAACTGTTGCTTCCTGACCTGCATACAGGTTTCTCAAGAGGTCTGGTATTCCTATCTCTTTCAAAATTTTCCACAGTTTATTGTGATACACATAGTCGAAGGCTTTGGCATAGTCAATAAAGCAGAAATAGATGTTTTCTGGAACTCTCTTGCTTTTTTGATGATCCAGGGGATGGTGTCAATTTGATCTCTGGTTCCTCTGCCTTTTCTAAAACCAACCTGAACATCTGGAAGTTCACGGTTCACCTATTGCTGAAACCTGGCTTGGAGAATTTTGAGCATTACGTTAGTAGCGTGTGAGATGAGTGCAATTTTGTGGTAGTTTGAGCATTCTTTGGCATTGGCTTTCTTTGGGACTAAAATGAAAACTGACCTTTTCCAGTTCTGTGGCCATTGCTGAGTTTTCCAAATTTGCTGGCATATTGAGTGAGGCACTTTCACAGCATCATCTTTCAGGATTTGAAATAGCTCAACTGGAATTCCATCACCTCCACTAGCTTTGTTCATAGTGATGCTTTCTAAGGCCCACTTGATTTCACATTCCAGGATGTCTGGCTCTAGGTGAGTGGTCACACCATCGTGATTATCTGGGTCATGAAGATCTTTTTTGTACAGCTCTTCTGTGTATCCTTGCCACCTCTTCTTAATATCTTCTGCTTCTGTTAAGTGCCTAAAATTTCTGTCCTTTATTGTGCCCATCTTTGCATGAAATATTTCCTTGGTATCTCTAATTTTCTTGAAGAGATCTCTAGTCTTTCCCATTCTGCTGTTTTCCTCTATTTCTTTGCAATGGTCACTGAGGAAGGCTTTCTTATCTCTCCTTGCTATTCTTTGGAACTCTGCATTCAAATGGGAATATCTTTCCTTTTCTCATTTACTTTTTGCTTTTCTTCTTTTCACAGCTGTTTGTAAGTCCTCCTTAGACAACCATTTTTCCCTTTTTCATTTCTGTTCCATGAGGATGGTCTTGATCTTTGTCTCCTGCACAATGTCACGAACCTCCATCCATACTTCATTAGGCACTCTGTCTATCAGATCTAGTACCTTAAATCTACTTCTCACTTCCATTGTATAGTCATAAGGGATTTGATTTAGGTCATACCTGAATGGTCTAATGGTTTTCCCTACTTTCTAAATTTAAGTCTGTATCTGGCAATATGGAGGTCATGATCTGAGCCACTGTCAGCTCCTGGTCTTGTTTTTGTTGACTGTGTAGAGCTTCTCCATCTTTGGCTGCAAAGAATATAATCAATCTGATTTCGGTGTTGACCATCTGGTGATGTCCATGTGTAGAGTCTCCTCTTGTGTTGTTGGAAGAGGGTGTTTGCTATGACCAGTGCATTCCCTTGGCAAAACTCTATTAGCCTTTGCCCTGCTTCATTCTGTACTCCAAGGCCAAATTTGCCTGTTACTCCAGGTGTTTCTTGACTTCCTACTTTTGCATTCCAGTCCCCTCTAGTGAAAAGGACATCTTTATGGGGTGTTACTTCTGAAAGGTCTTGTAGGTCTGCATAGAACCATTCAACTTCAGGTTCTTCAGTGTTACTGGTTGGGGCACACTCTAGGATTACCGTGATATTGAATGGTTTGCCTTGGAAATGAACAGAGAGCATTCTGTCATTTTTGAGTTTGCATCCAAGTACTGCATTTTGGACTCGTTTGTTGACCATGATGGCTATTCCATTTCTTCTATGGGATTCCTGCTCACAGTAGTAGATATAATGGTCATCTGAGTTAAATTCACCCATTCCAGGCCATTTTAGTTCGCTGATTCCTAGAAAGTCGACAGTCACTCTTGCCATCTCCTGTTTGACCACATCCAAGTTGCCTTGATTCATGGACCTAACATTTCAGTTTCCTATGCAATATTGCTCTTTACAGCATCGGACCTTGCTCCTATCACCAGTCACATCCACAACTGTGTATTGCTTTTGCTTTGGCTCCATTTCTGCATCCTTTCTGGACTTATTTCTCCACTGATCTCCAGTAGCATATTGGGCACCTACCGACCTAGGGAGTTCCCCTTTCAGTATCCTCTCATTTGCCTTCTCATACTGTTCATGGGGTTCTCAAGGCAAGAATACTGAAGTGGTTTGCCATTCCCTTCTCCAGTGTACCACATTCTGTCAGACTTCTCCACCATGACCCATCCGTCTTAGGTGGTCCCACAGGGCATAGCTTAGTTTCATTTAGACCAGACTGTGGTCCATGTGATCAGATTGGCTAGTTTTCGCTGATTATGGTTTCAGTGTGTCTGCCCTCTGATTCCCTCTCCCAACACCCACTGTCTTACTTGGGTTTCTCTTACCTTGGACGTGGGGAATCTATTCATGGCTGCTCCAGGAAAGCGCAGCCGCTGCTCCTTACCTTGGATGAGGGGTATCTCCTCACGGCCGCCCCTCCTGACCTTGAACAAAGAATAGCTCCTCTCGGCCCTGCTGCGCCAGCACAGCCATCGCTCCTTGGACGTGGGGTTGCTCCTCTTGGCCGACGCCCCTGACTTCAGCCGTGGGATTGCTCCTCTCAGCCCCTGCCCCTGCCCTGGGGCGTGTGGTAGCTCCTCCTGGTCACCACCCCTGACCTCGGATGTGGGGTAGCTCCTCTCGGCCGCACCTGTGCCGTCACAGCCTGGCGCTCTCGGTCGCTGCCCCTGACCTTGGGCTAGGGGTAGCTCCTCAAGGCCATGCTTATGCGAGGTCCATCACAGCTGGCGTGCTTCAATCAATTTTACAAAAGAGTAAAACTCTTGTTTGTGAACTGGGTAACCATAAACATACAGGGATTAACATCATTCACAAAGATAAGACACTGAAGTTAATGTAGCCTTCTATGAAAACAAAGTTTGAAAATTTTCTAAAGAAATCAGAGATGAATCTCCATACCATGGTAAAAAACAGGAACCCAAAGATGCTACACACTGGTTCCCCGAACTGGCCTTGGCCCTCACTTCTGAGATGGCTAACCGCTCCCTGTTCAATCACAGAAGGAACAGCCTGGCTGTTGCTATGGCTCAGGCTGCCTCATCCTCCTCCCTGGCAGCCTCTGCAGAAAGGGGTGGGAAGGCCCTCAAAGCCCTTTGTTTCACCCTGAGCAGAAATGCCATAAATTGCCACTTGCTGGTCTCTGCATACGCCTGGGGACCCCACAGGAACTCATAGCATGCAAGGTTGCTGTCAGGCAACTGCTGGTACTCCAGGTTCCCCTCCCGCAGCCACATGTGGGGCAGCAGCTCCCTGGACTCCCCAAAGACGCAGTGCTCACCCTCAGCACACAACCACATCCTGCTGAGTGTTCCCCAGACCTCCTCCTCAGGGGCATGGTCTCTATTCCATATGGTGAGGCTGAGGACCAGCACCAGGAAGCTGGCTTTGGGCAGACCCTGCCTACCGCTATGCATCGTATTGCAGGTGAGGCCCAGGGTGGTGACCAGGATGCTGATGTGCTGTCTGGCATCTACCTCCTTCACCTCCATGCCAAAGTCCAGCTGCATTCACTGCAAGGTTTGCCTGAAGACCACTGGGAAGTGCTCCTGGTTATCCCTGAAGACCTTCAGCATTTCTGCCTGGGAGGTCAGCTCCTTGGCTCGATAACTGAGGAGCAGGAACTTCATCAGGTTAGCCATCATCTCATTCAGAATTTCTGGGGACAAGGCCTCCAAAGGAGCAGAGGAGGATGCTGGGAGGTAGGAGGCCAAGTGGGATGTGGCCTCGTCCTCCTCAGCCTCCAAGAGCTGTGCCTCCATTGGGCCCTGGGCCTCAACTGGGTCCTGAAGGTCTTCTTTGGGCTTACTCAACTCACTCATCTCGACCACAAGCATGATGCCTGGGATCAAACAAGACACGGAAGTGAGGCAGAGGTACAGATGGGGACCACAGGCCTTGGGGCAGAGGGCATGTGAGCAGCCTCGGATGAGAAATGCATCCCAGGTGGTCTGACACAGGCCACTTATAGGTCTCCTCTTGAGGGGTGCTCTCAGACCTCACAGGGGTGCTCCTCCTAGGAAGACAGTCCCCTGGCTACCTGAAGGAGGAAGTGTGATGGCTCCCCAGGGTGTGGTCAGCACAGCCTGAGATTTCCGGGGCCCACAATGTGGGCGTGGGTGGGGAGGATTAGGGCCTTCGTGTGCCCCCCCTCTGTTCTGGGATGGGGAGCCTCTAGTACACACTCAGGGCACCCTCTCACCTTGACTCCAGATACTGCCTGGGCCTCCTCTGCTCTCTCATCTCCAGGACACAGGCTTTAGACCTCTGTCTTCACTTCCTGCTTCCTGAAGCTCCTGTGTGAGAAATGGAGGGAACATCTAGGGGCTATACAGTGGCACAGCCCTGGGCCTTCTGTGATGGTAAGAGGGGTGGGCTCAGTGAGCACATCCAGTTGTGTGGTGGGAGGTCCCCTCGGGGTGCCCTTGTAGTGCTCACCTTTCCCCCCTGGCACGGCTTGGACCCTGCCCTTTGGAGGCATACAGGGAAACTCAGAACAAGACCCGAGACTGAATAGAAAGCACTGAGGGGCCCCACATGTAGCCACACCTGCCCAGGGCCTCCCGCGGGTCCTCGGCTGGGGACATGCTCTGTCCTCAGCTCCTCCTCACACCCTGCCTGGCCTCCCAGCACTGACCACAGGGGCGTGGGTCTGCTCAGTCCTCCACCTGGGTTGGGGAGTCCAGCCTCTGCCGACCTGAAGCCTCTGGCCTCTACCCGAGAAAACTTACCTCCCGAGGTCTCTATGCCAGAGGTCAAGAAACTGCTCACCCTGTGCACCCCACTCTGGGCCCTCCAAGACCTTCCTGAAAGGGCCAAGATCCCTTCCTGTTGGGGTCTAACCTCCTCAGTACTTCCCGGCATGGAGACTGGACCCCAGGCAGCACCGGGGATTGTCCTGTCCACCATTTTGAGACCCTGCCGTTTTCATGAGATCCCCAGTCTCTCTGAGACCGTCACGTGAGGAAGACAGACAGGCCTAGTGTGCTCTTCTCACCCCAAGGGCTCCCAGGGCCGACTACAGGGGTGGGGATCTGTGGGGTTCCATTGGTCCTCACTCAGGGTCTCCTCAGTCCTCACTCAGGGTCCCCTCAGTCCTCCTTCAGGCACCTCACCTTGCCTCCAGGCAGGACCTGGGATTCTCGCCTCTCTGCAACTGAAGCCCTGCCCCTTATACCTGGGACACAGCCTCTCCAAGACCTGGATGTCAGGAAGTCAGACCATGCACGTTTGGCTCATCCTATCCCAGGGCCGCCAAGGACCAACTGCAGCTACAGCCTTCTCTGAGTTCTCCTCTGATTGGGTTCCAGGGTCCCCTTAGTCCTCCCTCAGGGTCCTCATCTTGAAACTCTGGAGGAGCTGGGCTTCTTCCCTCTGCTCACCTGAGGACGCGTCCCCTTTCCCAGATCCCCAGTTTCTCTGAGACTTGGATGTCAGGAAATGCAGCATGAGCTCATCCACCTTCTGTGCTCCCTGATCCTTGATGTGAGGGTCCCACCTCGGGTCAACACAAGGGGCATCCCCGGATCTGCCTGGGCTCTAGATGAGGTCCTGTAGGGGGGAATATAAGGAACCTCACAGATGCCTAACCCTGCTGTTAGGCCTGGACGATCCTGGTGGTGGGATGAGCACTTGGCAGCCTGTTCTGACTTCTGCCTCTGCACCTCAGAGACATGAGGCAACAGTTAGAAGAAGTAGTGCCTCAGATGGGCAGAGGGGAAGATCTTAGTTCTTTGGAGGGTCAAGGTGAGGACGCTGAGGGAGGACTGAGGGGACCCTGGACCCCAGAGCAGAGTGGGCTCTGGGAGGACATAGGGTGGAAGGAACACATGCTGCATTTCCTGACATCTGGGTCTCAGAGAGACTGGGGAACCTGGTATAGGTGGCTGACTTCCTGACATGCAGGCCTCAAAATGGGGACCTGGTACAGGGGTCTGACTTCCTAATATCTGGATTTCAGACTGGTGTCCTAGTATAGGGAGTGGACTTCCTGACATCCATGTCTCAGAGAGACTGGAGTCCCGATATAAGGGATGGGGCATTAGTAGGGGAGAGGAGTGAATCCGAAGTCCTACACAGAGACAAGTTGAGGTCCCTGAGGGAAGATTGAAAGGACCCCTGAGTGAAGTTTCTAGGGACCCCAAGTCTTACCAGACTGATGGAACCCTACAGGTCCCAGGCCCTGTTATCGGCCCTGGGAGCCCTTTGGTTGAGAAGAGCATACTAAATATGTCCTGACTTCCTGACATCGGGGTCTGTGAGACTGGGGACATGGTGTGAGGAGCAGGGACTATGATGGTGAGAGGACAGAGCCTAGGTCCTACCAGAAGTCAAGGTGAACACCCTGAGGGAGGACTGAGGGTAGCTAGATCTGAGACCAGAGGGAACCCTGATAGTCCCCAGGCAGGAAGACCTCGTGCTGCATTGCCTGACATCCCTGTCGGAAAGACAGGTGAAAACAGCCGAGCCTCCAAATTGCAGACAGGACATTGCAGGTCTTGCCTGGAGTACAGGCTCCATACGAGGAATGACCGAGGCAGGCTGCCCACAGATACCAGTCTTCGGCCCCCTTCGGAGGAGCCGCCAGGAGCCTCCACGGATAATCACAGCCTCCAGGGTCATGTTCCAGTCAGATGAACCAACCTGAAGAAATGCTTTGTCAACCTGTTTAGGAGGGCAAAGGCAACGGAGCAAGCCCAAGTCGAGGCTGCAAGCTCCATTCTGGCCACCAGTCCTCAGGCTGAAATGCCCTGGGAGAGCCTCTTCCATACCCTCTTAGCTCTCCCCTTTCAGACACCAGGCTGTGGCCCTCACACAGGGCAAATGACCCTGCTGCAGGGCAGAACTAATGGGAAACTATCTCTAGGGGCACAGTGCCCTAGAGTCCTCACACGTGGGCCTTTCCAAGGTGCTGTTCTGTCCCCTACATGGTGATTTTGAAGAAAAGTGGCCCACAAAGGTTTGAGAACATGCATCTCCAAACCCACTGCACTGTCGTTCATGTGTAGTGAAGACAGGCGACTCTCACTTGGGTTTCATCCAGTCCCACACCCAGACTCTCATCCATTTTCAAATACAGGTAGACAGGGGCTTCCTTTGGTCACATCTAGCTCAACAACTCAGAACTGACCCTGGGAGTGAGTGTGTGTAAAGGAGGCCCCTTGAAAAGCACCTAACCTGTGAGGCAACAAAATCATTCAATGTACCAGCCATCTGGGTAAGGCAGAAGAGGTCCACAGTGGTGGTGGGGACAGGGGCAGCGGCAGGGGCAGAGAAGATCAGAGCTGGCCTTGGAGAGGACCAGTGAAGTGCTTGTTTTCAACAGAACAGGCCGTACCTTGAGCCCCCAATCAAGTCCTTCAAAGGGCATGTACCCACATGACACCCAAGTTGGCCATGGGAGGCCAGGGCCGGGGATAGCAGAAGCCAAACCACCCCACTTATGAAAGGAAACAGATTCCAAGGCAGCCTCCAGGGAGTCTGAATCCAAGTCCGAGACTCTGGGAAGGGGGTGGGAAAAGCAAACACCTTGGTGTTCCCAAGGTGAGCACTCTAGGGCCATGTGAGCAGTCTTTATAGGAAAAAATGGAAACTGAAGACAACTACCTGTAATGTCCAGTGGGATGATGTCCGGGCATGGGCAGAACTCAGGAGGCTGCAAGTTCAGCAGAGCACCTGGCTGTGCCCTCCCACATGGCATCGTGTGGAGTCTGTGTCTCAGGTGCTGGGGGAACAGTCAAGTGGAATGTGAGGTCATTCCCACTGTGCTCGAGCATGGCTCTACTCTGGGGAGAGCTCGACCTGGGGGATGGTGGGGGCAGGACAACAGGACTCTGACTTTGGAGCCATCTGAGCAGGACCTACCTACCGGAAGCACCAGCTGGAAGAGACCAAAGCCCGAAGAGGGGCAAGGATGGGGATGGGGGTTGGGGGAATGGGACCAACAACTCAGGCTAGGCCATCCAGCTCACTACGGACCCCATCTTCCGGGAGGGACCATTCGCCAGGGGCCCATCTGACCCCTGGGGTCTCTCTTGGTAGAAGCTGAGCCAGGGTTTGCCAGGGCCTGGCCCTTTAACAGAAGGCAGTCACAGGCCTGCCTGTTTGTAAGGAGGGGGGTAGAGCCAGGGGCACGTTTGTCAACCCATCCAGGGCCTGGCCCCCTGAAACAAGGTGCCTGGCAGCAGATGAGAGCCTTTGCAGGCAAACTGAAACATGCTTTTCTGTACTTTCAGACAAGAAACAAGCTGGGGACCCCATCTCGGTCCAAATACCCCTCCCCCACACTGGGCCAGGGCTGCCTTTCCACATTACTTCTGTGACATCATGAAACGATTAAGGGAGCTGACCGCTTAATTGGCTGCCAGATTCTAGAATCTCCAGAGATTATTTATGGGGCACCCCAACCCTGGTCTGAGGTCCTTCTGCCCTGAGTGTTCACTGCTTGGGTAGAGGATGCTCCTGAGCTAGACTGGCTCCATGGATAGTCAGAGTTCCAATGAAGCACACGCAGCCCTGCTGGCCCCATCAACTGATGGGGAGCCCGCAGCAGGGGACGCCCCTGATTCCTCCACAATGCAAATGTGCATTCAGGGGAGGTTTTGGCGAAGCAGGGTGACCAATGCAAGAGCCCAGATCTGGGCTCCCAATACAACCCGCCGCCCACAGGGCCCGAACCCAGAAACAGCCAACAAGCAAGAGAACAACACTGTCCTCAGGCTATCCTTCCCCAGGAAGCTCTGGATGATCGTAGAGCATGTGGTCTTCATCTCTGTGTACTAGAACGACAAGGGAGACACAGTGGTCATCAAGGCAGATCTCTTCCAGACAGAGGTCC